AAAAAAAAAAAAAAAAAATTTATATAAATTTTATAAAATTTTATATATGAAAATTTAAAAAAAAAAGCCAGCCGGCCAGGTCTATTTTTAAATTTTATGTTATGAAAACCAAGTAATTAAATTTGTATGGCCTTAGTGATTTAAATTTCATAAGAATTGTGATCACGCAATTATTATATATAGTTGGAGTATATAGTTTATTTAACTTTCAATGAGTTACATATCATTACATTATTTTAATATAGTATAATATAATGATAAGATTGACCATAGTTAACATTACACACTATGACAATCACATAATCATGATGTATATGACAATCACATGACATCGACGAACCTTTTGCCCAACTTGCATATTTATGTATTTATTGTTTATTTATTTAATTGTTACTTTATTATCGTTATGCATAGATCATTATGCATAGCGTTGTTAGAATAGCGATCAAATACCAAATGGGTTTGTAACTAGAAGAGAATGTCAATAGTTTTAGAAAAATATGCTAACAACTTAAGGGTAGAGTATACGTAGATCATTTATCATATGATCTGCATGGCAATTTTTTTTTGTGTAACAAATTACATAGCAAACACAAATCTAATTGGGTAATTACCTGTTTTAGAAATATTTTTACTATGTTTTTTTGTGTAACCTCGGCAAATTTGAGAAATCCCCGGGAACTTTACGACATATATATGTTCATTTTTTAAAAATAATATAGCCCCCGAAAGTTTTACTACTATAAATAGAAGGTTTGATTTGTATGTTACAAAATTTTGGTAAAATTTAACCATGGTTTTGAGAACTTTTACTAGTAACATATTTTAATTTATGCATAAAATCCTATTGTACCACTGAGATCATATAATAAATGATTGACATACACTCTACCCTTAAATAGTAAAATGTTAGTAAACCGATTTATTATAAAAACATTCTGTAAAGACTTGTAAAAAGACATTGTTCACTGCCCCAAAGTCTCAATGATCTAATAAAAAGCCTCTTCATCTTGAATTTTTTCCAAATAAACCTACCCACTCAGTCATTTGTCTTACATTTGGTGATGACGACAGGACCACAGGTTGTCTACTCAGAGAAAATCAATTCGAAGATAGCCAGATTAAGTCCCAAAAATCCTGATTTATATGCCCAACATGTCTGTTTACGTTTCTGTTTTTACGATCATCGATCAACATTTCACCAATGTTCTTTGGTCAACACTCTCACCCAATGTCTCAATACTCTAAAATTCAGTGTAGTATTAGTAGAAATAATGAAAACGAAAACAGAACAAAAAGACCACAAAAATTTATACTTATTGAAAAATTTTTGTGTCTAAACCTTTTTTGTATATTTCATTGCGTATGCCCAATTTTGGACTTGTTCGATATCACAATTATCTACAGAATACCACCCTAAATAAAAAAAAAAGACAATTAGTCAAAGAAATAAAACAAAATAAAATAAATAAGCGATTTTTTACTTATCTTGTAATCCAGAAGTCCATTAAGAGTATACTGGGGAGAAGTAAATCTAAAATAAAAAAAGAAAGTAGTTAGTAAAATGCTCAACAAAGTTATAGACAATGAAAAAATAAAGCCCTCTACTTATCTTATAAACTATCTGGCTATGTCCCAAAGCAAGATCGAAGGCTTGTATTCCAGGAAACCCAACCCTTTTTAAATCTAGATTCTGGTATTAATGAACCTAGAAGAAAAGGAATAATTAGTACCATATCCAAGAATAAAAAAAAAAAAAAAAAAAACAAGAAAGAAAGAAAGGCTACTTATTTTATAATACTAATCCAAGTTCCAAGTCCCCACTCAAGCTGAAATTTTTCAATTCAAGCCAAAATCTCATATCCCCAAAAGAATCAAAGCCTAGAAAGAAAAAAAAAAAAAAGATTTAGCAACACAAAAAAAAAAAAAAAAAAAGTTACTTACTAGACAAGTCCTACGAATCCTGGTCTAAATGAAGTCAAAAGACTCCACCTAAAATACTGACTAAAAAATATTAGAGCTTCACCCTGATCCAAGAGTCAAAAAAAAAAGAAAAGCTCTGACAAAAAACTTTGAATAATCCTATCTCTAATGAATCGTCAAGCTCAAGGCTTTCATCTTCGTATAATACAAATGCAATACAAAATCATAATATTGAGGATATGAGAAAAGAATATGTTTCTCTTGCTTTTCAAGATCTATGCCTAAAACAAGAAGAAAACGATCCAGAAGAAATTCTCAACAGCACGCAAATCCAGAACTACAAGAATTAAAGATCAGTAAAGATTGGTAAATAAGAAAAGAAAAAGAGAAAGAAAAGAAAATACTTACCTAAAAATGAAAGATATGTTGCATTACCCACTAGAAAAAAACTATAGAAAGAACAAAGCTAAGTGTGAAAAGATGGGAAAAATTTAAATCAGTGGATGATCAACCAATAAATAATGTAACAATCACATAGGTGACGTCACGAGAACAAGACAAAAAGGAGAAGAAAAAGACTTACCTGACCTTATACCGCCCTGGAACAAATCTAGAAACAGACCCAGTCTCCATAAAGCCCTGATAATGAGATGCTGAACCCAAGAGAAGTCTCTAGAATAAATAAATAAGTTAGTAAAACGAAATAACGAAAGAAGCACAATGATCAAGAAACTTATCTGTTATACCCGAAATCTCGATGTAAGGTCAAAGAATAATGATCAAAAAAAGAAAAAAAAAAAACATTTTTACCAATTTAGTTTCTTTTTTTTATATAGAGTTATAGTTTTTTTTAAATGATTTTAGTTTTTAGCTTATAGTTTTAATTTTAGTGAAGTTAAAAGTTTAAGGTTTATTGTATTAGTAATTTAGCGAATTTTAGTCTATTTTGAGTTTGTGTATTTGTAAGTTGTAGTATGTAGTTGTAGAGCGTAACGATAGAGCCTGGTCTGGCAAGGAATAAGACCTATACAACAGTAAAGTTTGGCTATGAGTTAGCCAAGAGTGATGAGGACAAATTGTGGCTGAGTTTTTGATTACAGGTTATCTAAGGTATAAAACTCCTGAATTAAGTTAGAGTTCTGGTTATGGGTATACCAAGGAACCTAAAACCCCTAAATAGAATTAGTTTATTTTTTATGTAGAATGTTAGTATAGAATTTTAAAAATAGAGTTTTAAGAATAGAATTTTTAAAGTCACTGGTTGACTTGCTTGGAGAACCTTGCATTTTAAGAAGGAAGAATGTGTAACATAATGATAAGATTAGCCATAGTTAATATTACGTGCTATGACAATCACGTGATCATGATGCACATGATGATCATGTGATATCGACGGACCTTTCGGCAAAACATTCATTTTTGATACACCTGCACCTACTTTTTTGATACACTTAAATGTGCCCTTACTTTTTTGAGATACG